TAATGCACACCAGAGCTATCCACTAAGGAAAATATTACCAGACCCAGAGTGAGCTCAGCTCTTGTTAACTTACACAATTGTGTTGTCTTGCTAACAATAATAAACTTACCAAGAAAGACAATTTTTGCTGGCAGTCTCTGCGTCTGTCCTCACCTGCTTGTACTTGCCAGGCACGCCTCTTTAGCTCTTTTCACATTTAACGTTAACTTCTGTAGGGAGCTGACCGGATATTCTTCTCTTCTGTGTTGTTTTCTTATTAAGTCTGTGGTGTCCACCTTCCAAGTCCGAGTTTGTAAAGTAAAACAAAGGAAACCTGATAAACAAAATGATTTCTGGCCAAAAACAGCTTCCCTCTCAACGACCGTACACACGTTAACTTTCGTGAAGCGGACTTTCACGCTGTGTGATTGGGTCGTCGATTTAAAAACCTTGATTCTGATTGGTCCAACTGAATGCACTGCGCTAGTAAGCTGGGCGGGAGGACACACTTCGCCCCTGTGTACACGTGTTTACCGTTTACACACAGAAACAAGTATATTTACAATATGATTTAAAGTATACTTATTTCTATATGTTGTTGTTTGTTAAGTTGACAACATGTGCTGCTTCCTTCTTGGCCAGGTTACCCTTATGAAAGAGGTCTCTGATCTCAACTAGCTATTTACTTGATTAAAAAAATTAAAAGAAATGACAACAAAATCACAGGTGTTGGGCTGCGGTATCCCTGCTCACAAATCAAGGTTACAAGCCTGGAGGAAAAAATAGTTAAAGCAGATGATTGTGTGAAGTGAAGAAAGACTTGTTGCTAGATCCTTGAGGGTGAATCTTAGTTCTTTCAGAGACCTCTTAGCAAAAGTGGAAGCTTTGCATTTGTGTTTCCAGTTTCGTCCTGCTCTTTACACTGGCCGGTTTGTTCTCAAATAGATTTTCAAATTAAAAGCATTCTGTGGCCAGGCACTTAGCTATATTACTGAACTGTAAGTCCACACGAGCCTTCACATAGTTCCTCAAGCAGTGGGCCTGTAGCTTTGCAAGACTCACTGCTAAAGACCAGAGGTGAGCGAGCCTTTTCTGTCAGGGCCCAAACACCGGAACAGCATTTTACCTCGCTGTTTCTTACTTAAACCTGTCTTGTTTTATTTTACATTCTGGTTTAATTCTTATATGTATATATTATCTCCTGGTGTCTTTGTTGAGACCACCCTGCCACCCAAAGGAGGCTGGACTTATTGGCACTCTTCTGTTTTGATTTATGAATGGTTTTCATAGCTGTTTGTTGTCCTGTCTTCTGCCAGGTGTTTATTGATCCCATCCACGGCCACGCAGAGTTGCACCCACTCATCAAAATCATCGACACACCTCAGTTCCAGAGACTAGAAAATGAAGCGGAAGGATGTAGGTCAAAGGCTGGGATATATAAAAGCCAGGACCGTGTTAATGGTCGAACAGCAGATGTGGAATGACCTTCCTTCACTCCATTCAACTGATGCTCTCGTTAACTGGAAGAGCTTTTGTGTTCAAATGGACTCACTGCAAGGAATCCTTGAGAGCAGTAACCAATAAAAAAGGTTAATAGCATCTGAAACAAAAGGAGGTTGTATTTCCAAATGTTAGATAAAGTCTTAGTCTTATTTATCTGTACATAATTATTTGTTTGTGATGTTTTGTGGTGTTTTGCATTGTATATCTTGTATGGAATGAGTTGTTTTGTTGTGTGCTGGCACAGGGTGGGTTACCTGGCAGGACGACTTGTACAGTCTCTGAATGAGAAGCAGCCAGAACTCCTCGCAGAGACATCCTTTGTGTGCAGATCGCCGGGATCTGCCATGACCTTGGTGAGTGGTACACAGGTCCTTATATGTTTCAAGTTTTACCTTCTTTGCCACTGGGTGTGGGCATGAGTGAGAATATAAGCAAAACTGGGTTTATTATCCTCACAAATAGCTTAGTGCGAAGTTCACACACAACACATCACTATGTTTTTTTATGTACCCCTGTCCAGGACATGGGACATTTTCCCCATATGTTTGATGGGATGTTCATCCCCAAAGCACATCCGGCCATTTCCTGGAAAGTAAGAAACTATGTGATTTATATTTCTCTTGTCCTTTTGCTTTCTGCCATAAGTGTCAAACTAAGAGTGAACCAAAATACCTTTTGCAGATTACTTCTTGTACTAGCATTAGTTTCTTTCCTCTGTGTTAGCAGTGCAGAGGCAGACTATCCAAATCCATTAAAGTTCCTCAGACTAACAAAAGCACTGTTGTGCTGAGGTTTCAAACTGCTGTTATGATTCATCGCAAAAACGAGCTGGCAATCAAGAATATGCAACTAAACACCCTTTGATTCACAGCTACAATGTACTTAGCCAAGACGTGCACATCAACTGATCTGAAAGAGTGTAATTTTTTAAAAGGGCATCTCAGTTTAGTTTGTTTGGCCACACGTCAGGAACAACCGGAAAAGTCAAACTAACCAAAAATAACCACATACTGGCGATTTTTAAAAAGTAACTGGAAATTCTCTCTTGGTCACCCACTGTGCAGATTGTTCGAGCTTGAGTGCTTTTATCTACTATATAATGTAGTCGACTGAAACCTAAATTAAAATCATCTGGAGTCCAGCAGATATTAACCCGTTAGAAGGCTGGAAAGATCTCCCTGTCAGACACAAATCCTCTCATCACATTATTCTCAAATAGGTGATGTAGTCTTCAAAATACCCACCAACTAAACTCCCTCCTTGACACAGTTTGCCCTCTTTTCATTCTTCTTTTAAATGTGTTAACTGATATATAGTTATAAAATTCTTGGTACCAGATGGCTTGAAGTGACAGCAAAGAGTAGCATCCTGTTTTACAGAGGCTTTTTGCAGGCAGTTAGAACCTAGGCTGCTGTACAACACACTTAATGTCACTTGACTTGTAAGCATGAAAGTTTAGGGAACTGTTCAGAATGAAGTATAATAATAATAATCTTTATTTGTAGAGCACTTTTCAAAAACAAGTTAAAAGTGCTTTAACAAGTGGAAAGACAATAATACCCAAAAGACAATAAAACAAAACAATAAAAGATAAAAGCATGAAAACATTGAAAAGACTAAAATACATGTTTAAGATAAAATATAAAATTAGTAAAATAGAATAAAATAAAAGGGATAAAATAAAGTCAAATAAGATCGGGAAAGGCTCTCCTATAAAAGTATGTTTTAAGAAGGAGTCGATCAATAGATTTTTGGGTTAAACAGGTGAAAAGGCTGTTGCAATTATCCAAGCGTGATGAGATGAAGGCGTGTTAAATGGTCTCGGTGTCCTTAAAAGTTAACATAGATTGAAGGTTCTTTGCAACAGGCTTAATATGATTTACTAGGGAACCAGCAGATGGCAGTATTTGTTTTGCCATCTGCTGGGACCCGATGACCAGGATTTCTTTTTTGTCTGAGTTCAGCTGGAACCGAACTGGAATTTTTTAACTTCACAAAAGCAGTTGTTAAGTGAACTCAGCATTCCAGGGTCTGTGGATCTGACGGGCAAGTACATTTGTGTGTCATCAGCATAAATATGAAAAGAAATGCCATGTTTATGGATAATATGTCCAAGGGGAAGCAGATACAAGGAAAACAAAATGGGTCCTAAGACCGACCCCTGAGGCACACCATATTTAACTGGACAGAACGAAGAGACATAGTTGTTTACAGACACGCAAAACTTCCTATAACTGATAAGAGCTACTAGCGGCAAGGCCATTTTGTAAGTTATGACCACAGACCTGGCGTGAGTAATGAGTCCCTGCGCTTTCATTTTCAAATATGACCATTCACATTCCCATGTTAATATAACAAGTCTGTTTCTGTCGCAGCACAAGACTGCCTCTCTACAAATGTTTGACTACCTGGTGAACGACAATGGCCTGGTGCTGCACAAAGACCTGGACTTTATAAAGGAACAGATTGCTAGATCACCGGACGCTAATGCAGCTCAAGGCCAGAAGGTACCATCCACTTCTGCCTGTGTGAAATCATCATTGCTCCAACAGCCAATGTGGGATTTGTATAGAAAGTAACTTATAACACCTTAAGATCTTTAAGATGTTTATACCAACTTTCCTCGGACACGCACTCTCTTAACTAATCCACTGTTGTTGAAAATCTGGGGACAGTTCCAACTTGGGACCGGTTCTTGATACCCTATTTAAGATATGATGGTGCCTGACCATTAAGGGCTTTGTAGGATTTTAAATTATATTCAGGATTATACAGGGAGCCAGTGCAGAGAAGCTGGTGTGGGAAAAATGTGATCTTTTTTAGCAAAAAAACATCAAAATTGGAACAACTTTAAACTACCAACTATTTATTAATAAATAACCAGAAATAATCAAATTTTTTTATTTTATTTTTTATTTTTTTAGGACATTTTCGAATGGAGGAAAGGAGGAAAATGGAACACCTGGAGAGGTGGTGAAGAGGGGAGAAAATGAAACATAACAGGGCACATAGAAACGAACATCCACTCACACACATTCACACAATTTAGAGTCACCAATTATCCTGCATGGATTTGGACAGTGGGGGGAAGCTGGAGCACCTGGAGAGAACCCACGCAGACACGGGGAGAAACATACAAACTCCACACAGAAATGCAGACGACCAAGGTTTGAACCCTGGACCTGGGACGACCACGGTTCAAACCCTGGACCTTCTTGCTCTGAGGTGACAGTGCTAACCACTGCACCACCGTGCTGCCCTGCTTTTAGGTATTGTTAGTTTTTTTAGGCCAATTTGGAATCTATATTATAAATATGTTCTATGAAGTAGGGGAAGCCGGAGCACGTGGAGAGAAACATACAAACTCCACACAGAAACGCAGACGACCAAGGTTTGAACCCTGGACCTGGGACGACCAAGATTCGAACCCTGGACCTTCTTGCTCTGAGGTGACAGTGCTAACCACTGCACCACCACGCTGCCCCGCTTTTAGGTATTGTTTGTTTTTTTAGGCCAATTTAGAATCTACATGTTAAATATGTTTTATGATGTAGGGGAAGCCGGATCACCTGGAGCGAACCCACGCAGACACAGCGACAAACATACAAACTCCACACAGAAACGTAGACAAAAATCCAGCTCTACACAAAAAGAGTCAGGCCCAGGAATTGAACCAGCACCTTTTTGTGTGAGGCTGGAGTTTCATCCCTGCCCTTTTTTTTGCTGTTTTCAGCAAAACTTTTTATTGAGCTCCTGGACCTCTTGTCGAAGTACGTCATTTCGTCGGCCCATGGCATCTTTTTCCATTGTCAGCGATTTATTCATGACCTCCAGCATTTGTTCACTTTGTAGTCTGGCGTAGAGCTCTTCAACCTCGAGTTGTAATGTGTAGTTTTGTTGGATCAAGGCTTCATTTTCTTCTTTCATGACATTATTCCTGTCTACCAAAGCTTGTTCCTTTACAAGCCTTTTCTCCACCTTCTGAATTTCTTTTTTCAGGATGTTATTTCGCTGAGTTAGATTTTTTTTCTCTACTTTCAATTCTTTATATGTTTCCTTTATGACGGTTTTGTTTTCCATCTCCTCAGTACACTGTTTCATTTCTTGATGGAGTTCATCGTTGTGTTGTCTTAAGGCTCCAATCTCCTCTCTCAGTGGACCAAACTTGCCTTCATAGACTGGCATGCTATCACGCTTTGAGTAGAGCAAACGAAGTTCTTTAAGAAGCTCATTTTGTTTTGCAGAAACGGCTTTTTTTTCTGATTTCAGGGCTTTATACTTGTCCTTCATGGCTTTTCTGTTCTGGATCCTTCTGGTAAAGGTCTGAATGAGTAGTTGGAGGTCTTCATTTTCTTTGCGCATAAATTCCACGATGTGCAACTTCTCCCTATACATGACACTGAACATCTTTTGATCTTCATAATCTTTGTAGAGCTTCTGCCGTTGTTCTTTCAGTGCAGTGTTCTCCTGGCTGATGGACACATTTGACAATTCCATTTGATCAATAATTTCCTGCAGAGCCTTTTCATTACGGAGATCTTTGGCTATCTCCTGAATCTCTTGTCTCAGGTTGTCATTTTGTTGGCTAATCGCCGCATTCTCTGCTTTCAGTTGATCATACATTTCATCCAAAGCATTTAAATTTCTGCACTTTTCTTTGAGCTCCTGGATCTCCTCTTGTCTGCTGTAATTTTGGAGCCTCATGACCTCAGTTTCCTCCTTCATGACCTTACACATTTCCTCCAAAGCTGGTTCATTTTTGAGTTTTTCCCTGAGCTCCTGAATTTGTTGTTGCAGTGCCCCATTTTGCTGGCTTGCTGCTAAGTGCTCTGCTTTGATGTTCTTACACATCTCATCCCAGGCTTTGTCAGGTCGCATATGCTTTAGCTGCTGAAGTTCTTTTCCCAAAGCTTCCTTGGCTATTAAAATGGCTTCTGTTGCCACTTTCATAGCGTTGGGCACTGCATCCAATTCTTTCTGAGTTCGGCTATTTTCATGGTGCTCTGCCAGTAGATTTTTCTGATCTTGTTTCGGATACCTTTGCAGTTGGATATTAATGCCTTCAAGTTGTTGAATGACTACTTCTAAGTCCATATCCATTTTTCTGGGCTCTGTACACTAAGCTCAGTTGTAAATGATCCAGATATTAGATTGAAGAGTTGAAGTATTAAAATGTGTTCACTCAGTGACTTTGATCTTTGGAATGCTGAAGATGTCATAAAGTACAGGCAGTGACATCACATTCCCCTCAGACTGGTGTTTATGACATCATCAACATTATGACATCGTCAGAATTCTGATTGATAAAGTACAGGAAGTGACAGAACCTTTCACACAGCATGGTGTTTATGACATCATCAACATTATGACATCGTCAGAATTCTGACTGATAAAGTACAGGAAGTGACAGAACCTTTCACACAGCATGGTGGTTATGAAATGGTAGAAAGACAGAGGATCGTGGTGATCTTCTGAGGAAATTTGAATCTACACATTTTTATACACAGAACATGTCCTCCGCTTGTCTACGTTTTCTTACATAAGAAGCAATCAATCACTCCCAAAAGTTGGAGGCAATACTATTATCCAACTGCTGGAACACAAACCTCCTCACACATTAACCCTTTTTGATCTGCCCTGTCCAAACCTGGGCAAACCTCCCAGAGAACTTTTCACAACATACCTCAACACAGAATGAATCATCAAACATCCATCAATGGTCAATACCTAGGATGTATCTACAGACTGAAATGCTTAGGATTTAAAGTACAAGCTGATTTTATGATACAAATAATTAAACATGCAAACTACAACTTCTTTCTCCCTGTACATCAGTTCACAGTTTATTTTTACCTGTATATGTGCTTTTATGTGTTAGTTTCAAGCTGGCAGTGAAAGCACCGATGTCTGGGTTGTTCACGGTCGACAGATGATGGCAGTCTGTGTGAATGTGGAAGTTCTTCTGTCTCAAAACACCTGCCTGAAATTAATTATGACCCACCCCTAAGGAAAAAATAACATTTTACATATCGATTCTGTCCTTACATGTCGTACTCCATGAATCCTTGCATTTGGACCAGAAGAAATGTAGTAAAAACTGGAAATGCACGATACTGTAATTTAGAGATTTATAAAAGTGAAGTTGAGTCGATCAAGCAAAGGCCTTTCTTTTCCATTTAGTTCCCAAAATCTCTGCATGTGCCAAGACAATTGTCCTCTTTTAATATCTTAATATAACATAGACTACCCCTGGTAAAGTTTTTATTATTTCTGTTCTGTATACTTCTGTTATACTTTCCCACTTCATTTCTCTTTTTGCAATAAAGATTCAAGGAGAGAGAAAAAAATCAGATTATTCCAACACAACTGAATGCACCATCAGTCATCACTCACCCCTCCCTTTGCAAGCACAGAACAGCAGCTAAGGTGTCCGACACGCTTTGTCGGCTCTTGTGCTAAATAATACATGTGGTCCTCTTATTTGTCCAAATTTCACTTCTCTTTTTACTTCAAACAAACCAGAAGACTACTACTACTTTACTTCGTACGTATTCAATGTAGTGATGAAACGCGCTCTGTAGAGCAGTTTGTCCTTTTGGGCTACTGTAGAAACATGGCGGCGTCCATGTAAGGGGACCTGCAATGTATCTAGATAGAAATGGCTCATTCTAAGGTAAAAAAACATACTGGTTCATTATGTAAGGTCTTTATACACCACTGAAAACATAGGTATGGATATTATAGTGCATTTCTGTCAGTAGACCCTCAGAATTATTACCTTTATTATCATAATTATTATTATCATTATTACTAAAAGTAATCTCTGGAAAGTGTGCAATAAGCTGGTCTGTGGGAGTAGGAGTGTTAATGCTGATTGCATAGGCTGCAGCCTCCTTCCTGACCTCCTTGTCTCTAACATCCAAGGTCACATGCAACACATCAGGCCACTTTTCCTCTTCTTTCCACAAGAATGCTGGTCCTTCCAACCACGCACTGGTTTTCAGGAAGTCTGAGACCTTCAGTCCTCTAGACACCTAATCAGCTGGATTTTCTTTTGTGCTGATGTATTTTCATTGAGTGGGCTCAGACAACTCTCTGATGGTTGCAACTCCTTTAGTCACAAATGTGTGAAAGTGTCTGTCTTCATTATTGATGTACTTCAACACAGATGTGCTATCAGTCCAAAACACAGATTTTTCCAGTTGCATGTTCAGCTCTGCTTTGACCATAGCATCGATCTTTACAGCTTGAACAGCCGCAGACAGCTCAAGCTGGTGTTGCATGTCTACTATGTTTTAATAAATTTATGAGAATTAATACAAAATTATGAATTTTCAGAGAATATTCATTCATAAAGCTCTCGCGGGGCACCACCGGAGATCCAATTCACCCAGAGTCTCCGGACCTCTGAGTATGGTCAATAACTAGACAATTATTCACTGTGATCAGTTAGTTAACAATTGCTCAATTATCTTAAATCAGTCAGTCAGTCTCATATCGAAGGGGTAAATTCTCATGGCAGGGACATGGAGATAGGCAATACACACACAATTCCTTTGGTTACAGTGAAATTTATTAACTAATTAAGGTGGATATAAAAATGCGGTTAAAATATACATCTAAGAAATAAACAATGGCTAAACAATGAGAATGTGGGTTTCTGTTGTGGGGAGGATTTGACTCATACGGCGAAAGAGAACTAATGAAAGTAGTTAGATGATACTAACTCGATTAAATTTGTCTAGGAGTTTAAGGACTAAAGGTAATGAATTAACAAACTATTGGACATCACTGAGCACAGAATGCAGGGTTTTGGCCTTACTGCATGTCGTTTTCCCCAGCCGAGTTGCTGGCAGACGGCCTCACACTGGCTGAGTTCTGTATGTTCTCGGTTAGGACAGCTGAAAGCCGTTGCTTTCTCTGCCAGGGAATTGCTCCGGAGGTCTGTCTTTTGTCAGCTTACAGAAGAAACTCACAGTGGGGGCCTTTCCAAACCTGGCTCGGGTCAGAGGTTTGGTCGTCCTTTGTTACTGCTGGCGGGACCACGTGACCAGGTCCAACCTCAGTGGTACTAGCTTGACGCATAAAACTAGTGTAAATTAACAGACTGAAAGCTTTTAATAAAACCAAAGACAATAAAATGCAAGTAAAGTTGCTGGAAACGAGGGAAAGCTGAGATAGCGGCACTTTGCGTGTGTGGCTTGAAAACGAACAAGCCTTCGCTGCGCCGGGTCAAACTGCTTAGGGCGTTGCCGGGAGAGGGGGCACACTGGGCACGTGCCAAAGCGCAGTTGGAGAGCCAGGAACAAGCTGAGGGCAAGAGAGGACAAGAGAGAGCGACAGAGCGCGTGCTGCTGCCTATGTCTGTTGGGGCGTGGTTCCCAGAAGGCAGTCCTTTGTTCCCCTGAGGCAGGGCTTGTCTTTTCTTTAACTTTAATATGTCTAATCAAAAAAATCTATTTGCGCGTATTGTAATCAAATATCTTCCCACAATCAAACCTTAATTATCAAACGGGTATAACCTTCTTAGTTTTAAGAATTTGATAAAAAGGAAAACAATTGTCAGTAGTTAGACCTTAAGGTTAGCCTTTCAGAATCACAGATGAGAGGGACTTAACTAGCTTTCTGGATATATTGGCTGTTACACGTTCTTAGAGAATATAAGCAAGATACAGGAATGGCATCAGATTATTGGAGAGGATAAATACAGAGTGACATTTATACATTAAACGGCATTTCAGACGATGGCATGTAATACTTACTTTGTCCACTTGGGGGAGCTCGGGTTACATGACGATAGCTTTGATTCACCAAAATTAATAAAGTCAGGGATCCTTACTGAAAATTAAAACACTGCAAAATTAACTTATTTATTTTTGTTAAAGATTGCATCAGGGATAGTATACCAGATGGAATCTTTGTGCAAAATGAAGGAATTAAGCCATTTCTATTTCAGTCTATGGCATTCAGAACGCCTTCCTCAACACTCTTAATCACATCAGCTTTCCTAATGTAGTGACATTTATTCCTCCACATAAAGTTGAAGTTCATACTGTTTATTAATCTAGATACTTTGTCAGAGATTTCTAATGTAAAAGCGGGATAGTGAACTCTTGATAAGCTTTCCATCTTAGTTAATAATACCCTTCCAAATATGGTTGTGTCTCTTTGTAGCCAAGAGTTCAAGATCATTTTACATTTATTAATAGTTTTATAAATGTTTTCATTCTCTCTTATTTCTTTGGACCTGGTGACAGTTATGCCCAAGTATTTGACTTCAGTTTTCACCTTGATATTACAAATTGTCTGGGCTGGTTGATCGCGTAAGGCCAATATTTCACACTTATCGAAAGTAAGTTTCTTTTTTTACCGACTGGAATCTTACTTGGAGTTAGGGGTGCGGAGTTAGTTGCTAGTTGCGCTGGTTTCCATGGCGTAGTCGTGGTCGTCATTCCAGTCTGCCTCATCCATCTCTTTTGCGTTTTTCTTTTTCTTTTTTTTTGTCTTTCAGTTTCTGCTTAGCAGGTTTGAACATGTTCTGGTTTTCAGTAATGGGCAGTTTGAGTGTTCTTCGGGTGAGTATAACATAAAGGTTAGGGACAGAATTCCTGCAGCCTCAGATACGAGTGTCTGCTGCCAGTCCAATGCCATGGTTGTGTGGGGGGAAGTTTAGGGTTTCCTCTCTTAAGAAGAGTTCCGATAGGCTGTTCAGGAGAACGCTAATCTCTGGTCAGTGTTTCTTTGTCATTTTAACAGTCAGGCACCGAGCGTTATCTCGCTGTGGCATCAGAGTTGGAACCTTTCACTTTTTCCTTTGGGGTCTCTTCAGCCGTCTGTTGAGTTGATATCTCACCCCCTCCTTTTCTTTCTCCCAGGGAGAGAGAAAGAATTTGGAGTAGTCCAAATTTATTTGATATAAAATACACAAATCCACACTGTTGGTACACTACACCGGGGAATGGTTATGGTCTTCAGTGGTGTTACTCTGGCCTTGCCAAGGAGAAAGGCAACATGGATGATGTTTTCATGATTTGTCATACGAATGTACGTAACAGTCCCATAGCCTGCTTCACT